CGGCCCGAGGGCTGCGGTTCCGGCCGCCATGTGTGGACCTTAAAGCGTCTGTGGAAGCGCTTTGACATCTGTGAAGGGCTTTGTGTAGCAAACTAAATTGAAGCGCTTAGCAGTCCCGGAAGCGCTTTGAGGTCTGCGAAGTAGCGCGGTGCAAACAGAAGCGCTTGGTGATTACGGAAGCACGTTGTGGGTTTAGGAGCCAACCGAAGCCTTTAGTGAATCTCTAATCGTTGGGACTTCTCCGAAGCGCTTTGGCATCTCTGAAACCTTGAGAACTGTGATGGGCAGTGGAAAGAAGAGGGAAAGGTCAGTGAGGCCACCCGGTGGCCTTGACCTTCTTTCTTTCTGGCTTTCCTTACCCAGGGGGTCGGGTGGCGGGAGGGCTGGTGTTGGAATCCAGGCCCCCTTTTGCCTTGCAGGTGCCCATGGCGTCGGAGAGGCGCAAGGTCAAGTACCACTGGAGCAGCACTTCGGAAGGCTGTCCCAGCAAGCGCAGCTGCCTCCGGGAGCCCAGTGATGTGGCCCCCTCCAGCCGGTCAGCTCACAGCTCTGCGTCGCGTTCACGAGGGGGCAGTAGCTCCAAGCGCCTGAAAGCACACAAGGAGGACGATGTGGCTTGCTCGCCGAGGTTATCCAGGAGCTCAACTCGACGCAGAAATTCCTCCTCCTCCTCCTCTTCCCATTCCTCGGGCCCAGGTGTGGGCGGGGCCGCCTCCAAAGGCTGCCTGATTCGGAGCGCTCGCGCGTTCCTTTCGTCGAAGGGAACCTCTATGCGTCCTGCCAACCCCTCCCTAGAAGAAATGGCTTCTCTGGAGGAGGAAGCCTGCAGCCTTAAGGTAGGTAGCTGCCACGCCGTGCAGTCGGCGAAGCTTCTTCCACGTGGCTTGAGAGGTTTGGGATGGGAACTTTGGTGGGAGGAGACTCAAAAGGATCTTGTCCTTCAAGGTCTCTGGGGGTCTTCCCTACTCCACCCAAATGCGGAAGACTAAGCAGTCTGCCAGGGGTGGCCTGAAGCTCGGTAAAGAGGTACTCTTCAAACTTGGTAGCCTTATGGAACTATTTGGAAAGCTTTAAAATACTTGTGCTTGCTTCCCACACCAGAGAAGAGAGATTCTACTGGGCCGAGGTGTAGTGTGGGCTTCCACATTTTTTTACCTGCTCCCTAGGTAATTGTAAGTGTGCAGCCTGGCTGGAGAATCACTGCAGTAGAAGGTGAATTGCATGCTCAAGCGACAGATGAATCTGTTTTAGTTGGTCATTTTAAGGAATGTTTGTTTCCTTAGTTTCGAGCTACTCTGAAGCGCAGAGCCAAGGAATTTGGTTGTTGGTGTGGCTTTGCACCAAAGTCATGGTTTCCAGCATTTTGGGGTTTTGTTTGGAAGTGGTTTTTAAGTTGTTGTTTTTTCTCTTTGGGGAGAGGAAGCCAAGTCTAGATCCCTATTGGAAACGCACAGAGGGTTTCACATGTGCTTGAGGCCCACTGGGGAGTGCTTGAATCAGATTTGAGGAGATATTTATTGAAGGCCTAGTTTGTGTGGTGCAGTGTCACAGGTGTGTGTGATTCTCCTGTAACAAAGACCAGTCTCCAGTTTGCATTGTAAGTTTTGGAGCTTCAGGCCTGAAAAAGTGAGGGGGGACTGTATGTGGGAAAAGTATGTTTATCTTCGGGGAGCCCTTTGCCTAAGTGCCAGATTTTATCTGAACTCAGCACGTGGATTTTTTTTTTTTTAATTCATCAGTTAATGAGCTGAAAAGCTGTCTGGCATAAGAACATGGAATGATTCAAATGTAAATCACGTAAATATGGGGGCTTTGCTCATACAACTTGTCATTAATCCCTCCGAGTGGAATTGGACATATTATCCAAATAATTAGTCGATTATAATTAGCTTCACTGACAAACCTCAAGTCAGGTGGAGGAATTTAAGCTTGTCAGGCAGGAATTATTTTACTTAGTTTCAGGTGTGCTGCATCCCAGACTGAGGCTGTGCTGATTGGGGTTTAAGACTAGAGGGTGTGGCCAGGGGTGGAAGTGCACACCTCTAATCCCAACAACTCAGGAGGCAGAGGCAGGAGGATTGCAAGTTTAAGGCCAGCAGTCAGAAATTTAGTGAGACTCGGTCTCAAAAACTAGAAGGGACTGGGAACTAGAGTGCTTCTGGTTCAATTTCTAGTGGGCGGGGGAGTTTAGGGTGTGGCCCTTGATCTGGATGGGTCTAATCCTGGGGTGAATCCACATTTTTCTCATCAAAGTCAAAGGAGTTTTAGCCCTACAGGATACACCTGTAATCCTAGAGACTCTGGACAGTGAGGCAAGTTCGAGGCCAGCCTGGGCAACTTGGACCTTGTCTCAAAATAAAAAGGGAGGGATGTAGCTCAGTTGGGAGAGTGCTATGGATTGAAACACATTGCTGCCAAAAAAAAAAAGTGAAGGACTCTTGATGGCAGAACCCAGTTTAATAGTTTCAGTAAGCACCTGAGAGTAACTGTGTGCCAGGTGCTACTGGATCCCTGAACTCTGATCACATTGTACTGGGAGGATTGGAGGTCACATGACTGTCCCACAGTGTGGTATATTGGAGCAGAGAGCCTAGGATGGATGCTGGAGAGCTAGGCAGGGCAGATTACTGCATGATTTTAGTAGCTAAGGGATTTGGATTTTATTCTAAGCAAATTTGGATTGTATTCTAAGCCATTAAAGAGTTCCTATAGGGTTCTGTGCAGAGGAAAGGCAAATTGGCATTGTAGAAAGATTGTCATGCTGAGGGAAGATAACAATCTGATTGTCCATTTCTAGCCCTGCTAAGGTCTCCCTAGAGCTGTATTTATGTCTCTGGTACTTTTCTCCTCCATCCACGCCTGTCACCTTGCACTGCAGTCCTATGAGAACTTTTTTGACTGTTAAATCCTAATGTTTCTGAGCAGGCACACCTAAGGGGCACTGACAGAAAAAGCATACCCTTTCAAGGTCACCTTGCCCACCTGTTCCACTGTGTCTGTTCTGTAAACTTTGAGGGATACATATTTGGCTTTGTGTGCCCCACAACCTTCAGCACAGTTGTGTGTGTCAGGATATGAACATTCAGAAGGGAAGATGTTTGAATATTTTTAGTGGTGCTGGGCATTGAACCCACAGCCTCATGACTGATAGGCAGGTGCTCTACTGGCACTGAGCCACACCCTAGCCCCTGGGCATTTCAAAGTCATTAGAGATTCCTGATGGCCAACCTCACTTTGATCCTTCGTTGACTCCAGGGCAACTGAGAAACTTTCTCAAATTCTAATGTTTATAATCCCTCACTTAAAGAAAAAAATATTGCTTGGTATATTTATGGGGTAAATGTAATATTTCAGTGCATGTACACAATACAAAATGATCAGATTGGGGTAAATGACATCCTTTGCCGCAAACACATCATTTCTTTGGTTGGAAGCATTTAGAATCTATGATCTGGAGGTGTGGCTCAGTGGTTGAGTGCTTGCTTCTACTTGGGCTCAATTCTTAGCACTGGCAAAAAAGAAAGTAAAAAAGAATTGTAGATTTTACATATTGAATTTAAGTTTATCAGTCATAGAATGTAAAATAAATATGCGTTAGTGATAGAGTACATACTCAATATGTGCAAGGTCCTGGATAGTAAAAATCCATTTTACTAGCTGTTTGGAAATATACAGTTGTTGTCAGGGCCTTTCTTGTGCCCTGATGATGGGGAATTTGGATAAAGGTGGAATATGATGCTCAGAAGTTTGGGATTTATTCTATAGACAAATGCAGTGCCTTGGAAGGGTTATAAGCAGAGGCAGGACACTGCGGGATTTGCTGGAGAAGAGATAGGAGGGAGCAGGAAGGGAGTCAGTTAGGAAGCGTGGAAATTGTTCTAGGCCACAAGGGCTGGAGTTCTTGCCTTCAGAGATGCTCAGACCACCTGGTGCTGCCAGGGGAAAAACCAGGAATTGTTCCTTTTTAAGCCAAGTGATCTCTTCTTTTGCACTTTCTGCCTAGAGTCTGCCTCATCCTAACTTTTACAGGTTTCTTTCACTTGTTGAACTTGCCTAGTGACCTTCATTTGGTTCTTGTTGTCTCCTGCCTCTGCAGCCTTTGTTAGTGTTTCTCACTCTCATAGTTTCTCGACTTTTCTCGCTTGGTTCCAGGGTGTTAGGAGAACTTGAGTTTGAGTCCTGTTTCTGCCACCCATAAGCCATGTGGCAGTTTCCCTCTCTATAAAAGAGGGATGACAGCTGCAGTAGTTCTATTCATTATAAATCCATATGAAAATGTAAGGTATGTTGGCATATTTCTAATTTTTCTTTCTCCTTTAACTACAGTCTTGATCTTTATAGCTGGAATTGGCCAACAGCTGTTGCCTGGATTGAAGGTAGCCTGCTAGGTCCTTAAAATTTTGGAAGACTCCTTTTAAAAATTTGACTCTGGGATGAGGTGTAGATCAGTGATAGAGAGCTTGACTGGCATGCAGGAGGCCCTGTTCCCATCCCCTACAACACTATAAACACACAATTATAACTCTGGAATGGGGGTGTGGCTCATAGTAGAGTGTGTGCTTAGATGTGGAAGCCCTGGGTTCAGTCCTCAGCACCACAAAAACCACCGAACTTAAGATCTAGGTAATGTCTCCCTCCCCCACTCTCTTTATCATATACATAAAATAATGCATATATATGTATGCATTTATTTGCAGGGGTCAGGGAAATGGAATCCATGACCTTGCATGTGCTAAGCAGGTGCTCTACCACCCAGCTGCATCTCTCGTTTTATTTTTCTGCTTAGCATTTGTCACTCTCACATAGGTTTCACCAGTTTGTCTTGCCAATCCTCTGGTTTTTCTTTCCCTCACCAACTGGAATATAAGCTCCAGGAAGCAGGCGATTTTGTGTCTTTTATTGAACGTTAAACTCCAGATCTAGAACAGTGCCTTCTGGCAATAATTAGTGCTGAGTACTTGCTGAATGTCTGAGGAGTACATTAAGAGATTCCTGGTTTTGCTTGGAAAAACCAGAATCCATAACTCTGGGTGGGTTCTCCCAAATGTTGGCTTGAGGTGAAGAGCAACTATCCTTCAGTAGGTCCCTTCCATGTTGCCTTGCACCTGGCCTGTGGGGAAGAAGAGGGCAGAAATGGAGAAGCAGCTGAAGGCAGGACAGGGCTTTAAAGGACGAGTCTCAACACAAAATGGGACTAGCGCAAGGGTGTAGCATGAAGTGGAAATGTGACATGCCAGTGAATGTCTAAGAGGCTGTGATGGGCCAAGGGTGCAAAGGTGCCAGGGAGCTGGTGATAATAAGAGACACAGGTACTGTAGAAGCGAACTTGGTAGTTAGCTGTACAGCAGGCCCAGAGGTCATCAAGTTTATTTTTTTTTGTACTGGGGATTGAACTCGGGGGGCACTCAACTACTGAGCCACTCCCAGCCCTATTTTGTATTTTATTTAGAGAGAGACTCTCACGGAGTTGCTTAGTGCCTCGCTTTTGTTGAGGCTCGCTTTGAACTTGATATCCTCTGTCTCAGCCTCTTGAGCTGCTGGGATTACAGGTGTGCGCCACCGAGGTTGGCTATTTTTAATATTAGATTTTCATTTCACTTTTTTTTTTTTTTTTTGCATAATGCCTCGAATAGCACCTGGGTTTTGCACATGCTACATAAATGTTCTATCACTGAGCAACAGCCCTAGCCCCAGCCCCAGCCCCAGCCCTGGGCTGCTGCTTCGCATTTATTATACTATTGGCATCAGAGCAGTCTCATGATTTTTCGTTTTTTGGTGGTGTTGTGGCTGGAGCCCATGGCCTTGTGCATGCCAAGGGTACACTCTACTACTGAGCCACACCCCAGCTTACAACCTCATGTTTAAAAAAGCCATGGTATTTTGTAGTGTCTGCTTATTGATGGACATCCCTTGAAGTAAATTCCACTTTTCTGTTGTGGAGGAGTGTTTGCTTTTGAGAGGAATTTAATGAGTTAGAACCAAAAATTATAGGGGTTGTAAAATACATTGGGATAAAGGTAAGTCCAGGTCATAGCTAGGGAGATTTGGAGTTGTATTCTTTTGGAATGATTCTTTGTGGGGGGAGATTTTTATGGCTAAGCCATGTCCTCAGCCCTTTTTATATTTTGTTTAGAGACAGCGTCTTGCAAAGTTGCTTAGGGCCTTGCTGAGTTGCTGAGACTGGCTTTGAACTCATGATCCTCCCCTTGCATCAGCTTCCTGGGCTGCTGGGATTACAGGTGTGCGCCATCACACCTTCTTATGGAGTGTTCTTAATGCCAGGCTGGTATTAGACTGGATCTGAGTTTTACAGAAAATTAAAATTGCAGATAGCCTAGTTTTTTCTTTGTTTTTTTCATTGGTACTGGGGATGGGTCCCAGGGGTGCTTTACCACTAAGCTACATCCTCAGCTTTTGTTATTTTGAGGCAGGATCTTGTGAAGTTTCTGAGACTGACTTTGAATTTGCGATCCTCCTGCCTCAGCCTCCTTGGAGTTTTTGGGATTACAGGCATGCACTACCATCGCCAGGCCAGTCTAGCTTTCCCTATGGACTCCTGGAGTGAGTGGGGCCTGAGAGGCTGAGACTTCACTTAAGTCTCTAAGGACATGGGCAGGGAGGGTCTTGGGAGAGTGGTCCTGTTTCCAACACCAAGATTCTGGTTTCTAACACCAAGGAAGGGTGATGCAGGGCTTTAAGAAGGCTTGGGTGTGGTGGGAAAGCTCATTGAGGACTCCAAAGGCTGGAGTCTGAGAAGTTGGAGTTCCTTGGTACTGCCTTCTGGAAGCTCACCAGGTCCTCAGGTTTCCTTGGCTCTTAGGTGTGGGACTGGGCTGGCTGGGGATCCTGTGAGCTGCTGTTTGGTGTCTGTTGTGAAGTATGTGCTGGTCGTGGGCTTCCAGGAGCTTGTTCCTTCCAGTGGCTGCAGTAAGAGGGGATCATCTGATGAGCTAAGGAGGTTTGGACAATTAGAATAGCTGCCCTGCAGTTCAGTCCCTTCCACAGCAGCACCTCGTCAGTGGGTGGGACAAAACCACCCTCCGGAGAGGAAAGTGACCTGTTTTACCAATGCTCACTTTCCATTTGACTAGTGGAACCACTGCTGATGTCCCATTTGCTAAGTGCGTCGTGTTTGAAATTCTTTTGGGACCACCTTTTCTAAGTCTTTGTGGTTTCTTTTCCCCCACCAGGTTGATTCCAAAGATAGTTCTCGTAACTCCATGAACTCTGAATTTGCAGCTGAAGCTGAGGGTCAGAATGATGGGATGGAAGAAACAAACAAGGTCCAGAAAAGGAAGAGGAATAGGGTTGGGGACCAGGGCTCCGCAGTGATCTACTTGAAGGCTCTACAGGGCATTCTGGGGAAGTCCATGCCCAGAAGGAAAGAAGCTGCCACTCCAAGGGTGAAGCCAAGCCCAGGAGTGCGTCCCAGCCGTGCCGAAGGACCAGCCGGAAGTGTCACGGTCTCTCCTCCTCAGAAAGAAAAAGAGTCGCCTCCAGAGGTCAAAGTGGAGGAGGAACCTCCTGACACGAGCAGCTTCTGTGACAGAAGGGTGATTGTGGACCCTCAGGAGAAGCCAGTTGAGGAGCCACTTGGTGACCGAAGGACAGTCATTGACAAGCCCTCTCCCCCGCTAGAATTTTTGGATGACTCTGACACTCATTTAGAAATCCAAAAAGTAAGTGTAGATAAAGCATGTACCAAGCATCTGGGTTTGAAGATCTCTTAGATTAAATGAATGTTTTCTAGTTTGCTGCATGATATTTTTTATCTGTCTATTGTGGTTCTGGGGATCAATCCAGGCCTCATCACCCTACCTTAGCTACGTCTCTAGCCCTCTAAATGTTATTATTAACTAAAAGCAGAACTTTACTTAACCAGGACTCCAGGAAGCTAGGTGGTGATTATCTTCCAACATTTCTTTTTTTTTTTTTTTTTAATTGTAGTTGGACACAGTAGCTTTATTCAATTTATTTTTTTATGTGGTGCTAAGGATTGAACCCAGGGCCTCACCCGTGCTAGGCGAGCACTCTACCGCAGCCCACATTCTTTTTTTTTTTTTTTTTTAAATATTTTGTTATAGATGAATGTAGTACCTTTATTTTTAGGTGGTGCTGAGGACTGAACCCAGTGCCTTACACATGCTAGACATGTGCTATACTACTGAGTCACGTCTCTAGCCCCCAAGATTCCTTTCAGAATTAATAATAAACCTCAATTTATTGTCCCCCCATCCTGCCCCATTTACGTGTTAGAATATGGGTTTGATTGCTGTAGCAAAGCCCAAATGGAAGTGGCTTTAATTGTAGAGGTTGGGCTTGAGCGATGACTCCTCAGCATCGTGGATCCTGCTGCCATCCCTCCATAGTCTTTTGGTGTGAGATGGCTACTCTGAGAGGGCTCGGAGTTTATGACATGAATACTCAGCCAGTAGGAAGAGGAAAAGAGTAATGCGCTTCATCCCTTTTTTTAAATTTTGGTACTGGAGTTTGAACTCGGGGATGCTTTCCCTCTGGGCCACATTCCTAGTAATTTTTGTATTTTATTGAGAGAAAGTGTCTCCCTAAGTTGCTGAGGCTGGCTTTGAACTCATAATATCCTGCCTGAGCCTCATAAGCCACTGAGATTACAAGCGTGTGCTACTGTGCCTGGCCATTTCCTCCCTCTTAAGAGCTTATCTCCAGCCAGGTGCCAGTGACTCAGGAGGCTAAGACAGGAAGATCACAAGTTTGAGGCCAGCCTCAGCAATTTGGCAAGGTCCTAAGCAACTTAGTGAGACTCTGTCTCAAAATCAAAATAAAAAGGGTTGGGAATATGGCTCTGGCTCAGTGCTGAAGTACCTCTGGATTCAATCCTGATATCCCCTCATAAAAAAAAAAGTTATGTGTCACATCTGCCCAGACCTATTGAGAAGAGCTGGAAATCTGGCTAACACCTAGTGCAAGGAAGGCTAAAAAATGATCTTCATTGGGGCAGACTTGCATCCACATCAGTTTCTGTGGCTATAATAGAAGGGAAGGATGATAACTGGAGGGAAGCTAGTGATTTTTAATATAGCTTTTGTGGTGGGGGAAGGGGCTATTCCTCTGTTGTCCCCATTTCTGCCCATTCTTTTTTTTTAGTTATAGATGGATACAGTACCTTTATTTTAATGTGGTGCTGAGGATTGAACCCAGTCCCTCAAATGTGCTAGGCAAGTGCTCAGCCACTGCACTACAACTTTAGCCCCAATTTCTGCCCATTCGTCACTGTTGCTCCTCGGTGGCAACCTATTTCAGTCAGCTTTCTTGCTGCTGTGACCAAAAGGCCGGATGAGAACAATTAGAGAAGGAAAAGTTTATTTGGCTCATGGTTTTAGAGGTGTCAGTCCACAGATGGCTGATTCCATTGCTCTGGTCTGGAGGTGAGGTAGCACATCATAGTGGAAGAGTGTGGTGGAGGAAGGGAGCTCAGGACATGGCAGCCAGGAAGCAGACAGCCCCACTCACCAGGGACAAAATAAATACCATAGGCATGCCCCTGTGACCCACCTCCTCCAGCCACACTCCACCTGCCTGCAGTCACCACCCAGTTAATCCCTGTTGGGGTTAATTCACTGATAAAGTTCTCCTGACCCAGTCATTTCACCTCTGAACTTTCTTGTATTGTCTCACACCTAAGCTTTTGGGGATGTCTCGTATCTGAACCATAACAGCCCTTATCGGCTCTTCCAGCTCTGTTTTTGAGTTGCCTCATATTTCTAAATAATATTGTGCTGTTACTGATTTTTTCAGTTTTAGAAATCTGTGGATGTCCCCCACAGGGCCGTGAGAATTTAGTTTTCTGCTTCCTTTAATAGCACCCACACTGCAGCCTCTCCATGGCATCATTTCTGTGCTTGTTTTTGGCAGTATTCGGATTGAACCCAGGGTGCTTTACCATTGAGCTACATTTATCCCCAGACCTTTTTTGTGTGTTATCTTGAGGCAGGGTCTTGCTGGCTTGTCCAGGTTGGCCTCTAACTTTCAATTCTCCTGCCTCAGCCTGCTGATGGGTGGGGTTACAGGTGAGCACCTCTGTGCCTAGCACAGTTTCTGTCTTCTGTTGTGATGTCTATCTGCCAGGAGAGTCTGGAGCCCCAATATGGCTGTTGGGAGTTCTGGGAGTCAGGCCGAGGGCAATGCATGGGTTTCGCTGTCTAGCAGGTATGTGTTGTTCCTGACTGTTCCATAGTCATCTTTCCCAAGCATGAACCTTCTCTTCTGTTGAATGGAGAAAAGGCACACTCATTTGCCTGGGGAGGAGCAGGTAGCTGGGGGATCTCCATCTCTACTTCATTTTGAAGGTCTGATACCTTCTTCATCTTCTTGGAGTCCTGTAGTCTATTTCTGGATTTCTCCCTGTGTTCTTAGGTTTTGGCCATCTGTGATCTGCTAAGCCAGTAACCATTCATGTGTCTATCTAGCATCCAATTTTTATTTAGTTGCTGTTTACTCTTTATGCTTTCTCCATATAGCTTTACTAAGCCTTTTCTTTTTTCTTTTTTTTTTCTAAAGAGAATTTTAATATTTATTTTTTAAGTTTTCGGCGGACACAACATCTTTATTTGTATGTGGTGCTGAGGATCGAATCCGTGCCGCACACATGCCAGGGGAGTGCACTACCGCTTGAGCCACATCCCCAGCCTTTTATTAAGCCTTTTCAAATGCATTTCCTGTGATTTTTAGAAGGGTTTTTGGGTGGGAAGGACAAAAACCACACGTGCTACATATAACTGGAAATCCCACATGAAGGTTTTATAAGCTAATTTCCCCACTAAATGTACATGGTGGCTGTGTTTTCTGTCGTGTAGATTTTTGTCTTGTTTGGTTGCCTACAAACCTAATCATATGGTTGAAAATTTCAGTTATATCCACACTCCTGTATTTGTTTGACGGGGTGCTTGGGTTGTCTCCCTTGGGTATAGGGTGGATTAACACATGCATGAATGTTGGGATAGCATCAAAGCATTTGGGTCCAGATCCTGGCCCTGCTGCCTGAATTGTGATACTGAGAAAATCACTCACCCTTCTTGGGCCCTGGTTTCTTCCTCTGTCAAAAGGGATAGTTCTTCAAATGTGATCACAGTTAAAAATAATACAGGGGGGACTGGGGATGTGGCTCAAGCAGTAGTGCGCTCGCTTGGCATGCTTGTGGCCCGGGTTCAATCCTCAGCACCACATACAAGCAAAGATTACTTGATTATGTAAGTCGTTCAGGGATTTAGATGATGACATGGTAAGTTTGTGATATATATTTCTAGTTAGATGTGTGGTTTTTTTGGGGGGAAGGGGCTCTCAACCACTGAGCCACATCCCAGTCTCATTTTTGTGTTTAGAGACAGAATCTTACTGAGTTGATTAGCACCTCGCCATTGCTGAAGCTGGCTTTGAACTTGTGATCTTCCTGCCTTAGTCTCCCGAGCTGCTGGGATGACAGGTGTGCACCACAGCACCTGGCAAGACGTGTGTTTTTGAAATCACTTTTCCCTCTGATTCTGCTGTTTCCCTACTTTTACATTTCCTTAAACAGCTTCATCAAACCTTTTCACATGTCTTTGACGTGTGTCTTTGTCACTAGAGTTACTTTTTGAATTACTTAATGTGATTTTGTATACTTCCCTGGGAGAATGAGAGATTCTGACTCAGAAGGTCATTGATGAGACCTGGAAATCTTTCTTTGTTTTAAACAAATACTGAGCCCTGGTTTTGGAAGTTTGGAAGTTTGGAGTACAGTCAGAAGACACAATCTGTCCTTCCATCTGAATTGGAATTTTATTCTTCATTTATTTTATGGGATGAAACCTAGGGCTTTGTGCATGCTAGGCAAACCCTTTATCACTGAGCCACACCCTGTCTCTTTTTTGACAGAGGGTCTCACTATGTTGTCCAGGCTGGCCTTAAATTCCTGGGCTCAAGCAATCCTCCCTCTTCCTCCTGAATAGCTGGGACCACAGGCATGTGCCACCATACCCAGCTGCAGTTTTTCCTTTTTCACTTTTAAGTTGGTATGTTATGAACAGAACAGTAGGGTTTGTTATATATTCTTACATGCTGACAGTGTAACAGTCTAATTTGGCCAATGTCATTTTCCAGTATTTTCCCCTTTCCCTCCCCACCTTCCCCCTTGGAATTTGATTTTATTAACTCTTACATTTTTAAACCTTTTCCTGGAAAATTTAAAACATTTATGAAATACAGCTACACACCCACTGCTCATCTGCAGCAGAACTCCCTCTAGTCCTGCTAGTCCTGCATTGCTGTATCCCTTTTCTCTCCACGAAGTATTTTAAGGCAAATCCTCTCTCTCATATCTTTTCATCCATAAATATTTTGGTATGCATCTCTAAAAGGTAAAGGATATATATATATATCCTTTACCTTTTATAGATGCATACCAAAATATT